TTTCGTCAGATTTCGAAAAACGGTGGAGTCCCGCAGAAGTCCACCAACCGCTCCATCTTTGCGCGCATTTTGTGAGTCTTCCTCCTGGATCGCTCCTCGTTTCAATATTTCCCACGTGACAGTCATTGGAATCGCGATGCGTAGACAGGTCAACCTCAAAACGGTCGTCCTGTCACATACGGGGAGGCGCGCGATTCACGCGTGACCCAATTAGCGCTCTTCGCGCATGCAGCCTCGTTTCAGTACGTCTCTGTTGAGATGGACCAAATAAATTTGCAGTAGTTTACGACTTCACCATGAATTGGAGCGAATCTCTTTACTATGGCAATGAGGCCCCTTTGAGATTAAAAATTCACTTTGTAGGTCAACAATTTACTCGTTAACGTTCAAAATAAGAATAACCTCAATTTTTCCGGTCCTAAAGAATGCAATCCTTCTGTGAACGTGCATTGTTGGTCATTTTTTTTACTTATTCTACTTATTAGTTCTTATTTCTTCCATTATGATGGTAGGCTGATGTTTTAGCGCGTTTTGTCCAATGACCTCATTCTATTGACGCGTGAACCGCACCACACCCGTCACATACGCCCCATTTCCGAATACGATTGCTTGGGAAGGAGTAAGCGCAGAACCTGCAAAACATGAGGAAATGACTACTGATTTGTTAGTATTTTCAACTCTGGTGAGATGAGCCTACCCCGAATAAATGCAGATGTATCCAGGTAGGATTTGAGAGCCTCCTCTTATAGGCTTCTTGACGAGAGGAAGTTGGAGAGGAAAAACAAATGCCGTGCGCTACCTGCGCGCGGCCTGCGCATCGACACACTTTTCTCTGGCTTAAGGGTGTTTAGCGTGGAAGGAATGTTGAGATCCCAGAGTACACGTATATTTGACAATACGAGTGCTGAAGCCGCTTAGAAGAGTCAGACGGCCTCTCATAGCCGTATTCCCTCTTTCATAATGGTTCAGGCTAGAATCTCTACCATCAGAGTGATATCGCAAATGTTGGTCGAGAAAAGTAAGCAAGTAAAAAAAGTACAAAATTTTATCCGAAACTCTTTAAGAAGGATTCTCTGAAAGGGTGCAGCTGAGGGTGATAGATATTTCTAGAAGCACGGTTTGGAAACTGCGGTGCACTTGCTCACGAATGGGAAAGATCAAGAATGTGCTAAAGAAATGTTTGCAACATCATCGCAGCTTCCATTCCTACCACGAAGTTCCCGGACCACAACGTGATGGGTCCCTGGATACAGTCCATCCTAGAGAGAAAGCCTGCGCTCGAAAACGCACCACTGTTGCTGCTCCTGAGAAATCATCGAAAAAAAAGCCCGGGCTGGCATTTCTCAAGAAACACTGCGTGTCACCGTCGATGAGTAGCCGAGGCGTCCTCGAGCTTAATTAGTACAGGAGATGGTTATACAAAGTCACCGTGTGTTCGTTTTGTAGATGCGATGCATAGTAAATGACACACATGAATTCACCATTTATCAACATGAACTGCGGTTTCTGTAGCCCAATTCCTTTGTTACGATATTTATGGCTCACCCGGTACATTGAACTGCGCCATTTCGGAAAACATTAATTGATGTTGACGTAATAGTCGTGTACCGTGAAGAACGGTGAAGGGTCCACCTATAGACATTGTTCGTCATGAGTCAACTATTGTAGCGTACTCTGATGAATCGCATGTTCTCACGCCCTTCGTGATTTTACTGTGATCTGTTTGAAGGATTTTTTCGTTATCACCTTCTTACCATTTACTTTCTTAATCATCTTTCGTTCTAGTGATTCCTAATTTTACCTTTAGGAGTTTCATTCGTGATGCGAGGGTGTGCGGAAAACTTCGGAGCAATAGACACCAACTTCCTTGCAAAGCATGGAGCCCATAGCTGCTCGACGTGAGTAAATCTCTACATTTCAGTATAATTAAAAAGAGAGCGTCTTGACTACTGACCGCTGGTCTCATATCTCTTTTCCAAATTTGCCGAACGATTCCGTGAATGAAGTTATGAGAGTGGTTTCACATAAGGCTTGACATAAGTTGACTTGAATTGCATAGATGTACCAGGTTCCTGAAGGGTGGGTCAGGGCAATAGTAAAGGTAACGCTTCATACGCGAGAGACTAGTAAAGGGTCTTGTGGGTAGCGAGAATTTTGTATCGTATTGGATTTTTTCCTGTAACATAGAAATTCCTCTGATGTTGATTTTATCGTGTTCGACGACCTCTTGACGCTTTTAATGGCATCCGTTCAACCTAAGACATGCAAGATCGCTCCAATTTTCTGCATGCTTGTACATGCTATTCACAGGAGAAAGGGGGAATGCGGCATGGTGGTAGGTGCGC